AATACATACGTCCATGTCTCAGCCTGAACACTTAAAATATACAAGCAAATACAACATACTACACATACGTCCATGTCTCAGCCTGAACACTTAAACTATACAAACAAATACAGCATACTACACATACGTCCATGTCTCGGTCTGCCCACTAACAATGGCCTGCCAGTCGTCGTCGGCCCTAGTGAGCGGCGACAGGTCATACTCGACATCCTCGTACGCATTCTCCACCACCACATTACACATGGTCTCCTTGGTAGCCGAGCTACAGGCCAAAGGTGTCCTCCATTCGAAGAGATAGGTGCACTCGTCCGGGCTGTTTAGGGCCACAGGGAACCCGTTGCCAACCACCACGCCTTCCTCACACACAAAAGAGATGATGCTCTCCTTTTGGCGTGACGATACACCGCTTGTTGGGCACTTGGCTGTGTGAAATGCGAATGTAATGTGTGGAGATTAGAAGTTATATACCGCATAAGGGTTCTAGAGTTTTAGGGTTTAAGTTATATGCCACACGAGTTTTAGGATTCTGGAATCATAGGGTTTTATGTTTTAGGGTTTCATGGGTTTAGGAATTGAGCTATATACCACATAAGAGTCTTAGGGTTCTGGGATTATAGGGTTTTAGGGTTTAGTGCTATATATCGAATAAGAGTGTATTCTAGCCTCATATTCACTACACAATACGAAAGGTGTATTTGACATTAGATATTACGTTGGACTCTCTCAAACATAGTGTAGCTGTGTAGACGCCCTTGGAGATAACGTCCTACTAGGATACTGACACCAAAAAGTGCACATACACCCCCTCCCCAGTAACCCAGTATATAAACATAGTGTGGCTGTGTAGATGCCCTTGGAGGTAATGACCTACTAGGCTACTAACACTAAACAGTGCACATACCCCCCCCAGTATAAGATAACGTAAGTACGCCATTGACCATAGACAGTGCTCCCGCGGGCTTGCCCAGCGACGTCTTCGTATCCTTCTCACACACACCCGCACCATCGCCACAACTGGGATCGTTCACAGGTGCACACACATTGAGTGTGTAAGTGTGGTGAGTGTTGTGGGTGGTGACTGGGTACCCCGTTTGGGACTGGAGAGGACTCAGGTCGTAGTTGGTGCTGGTTTCCGGGTCAAACACCTTGCAGCCGTCACCCGGGGACATCTGTGGCAGAGAACCAGGTGTGGTAGGTAAACAGGCAATGAATAGAACACAGTGCCCGCACCACGGTGCTATAAATAGACCATTAATTGTGCATTAATAGACATTAACTAATAGTAGAACATTAATTATTACCATGCCTTCATCGTTCGATCTGCAAAAAGGGGTTAAATACAGATAAGCAAGTAAAAAAACTATGAGGAGCTGATTGAAAAAATACTGATACCGTGTGCGTTGTGTATATGTTCAAGTCGTAATCGGTGCCCATTTTCTTGTCAAACAGCTTGCAATCGCGGCCATTAAAAAAAATTTACACACACACACACACATATATATATATATATATATATATA